ACAAAAACATTTATTTGTATATATTCCTAATGGTGTTTTAGTCGTATTTGCCTCAAATTATTTTTATAAAAATTATGAAGTATTGCTATGTTCTCCCTTATATTAATCAAATTATAAAAGCAACATTTAAAGAAAATGGAATCTGCAAAATCAATCATTCTGGGTTAGAAAATGCCAGAATTAAGATTACCCTAGCAGCATTCATTTCACAATCATCTACAGTACTTCTGGAGCCAGGAACTGAACCCAGCCATCCAAGATTCAGTCTGATGCTTTAGTCTTATTCACAATCCATCATTTGATGATGCACAGCCCATTGCTGCTTGACCTAAAAGAACAAGTCATGGCCAGCTATCTGGTTGCAGCTACAGCGATAAATACAACACACTTTGTGATTTATACATTCATTTACTAATGGCTTGGAAACTGGATTCCTGAATGCTCTTCCTGGCAAATAGGGAGATGGTTACAGACAGTTCACCCAAGAGGACAATTTTAGCATCTTTATTCTGCAAGATCATGAGGATGTGGCTAGAATTTGGGTCTGGAGAAGAGTCTGTATTCTTGGGTCCAACAGAATGAAACCTGGGGCTGGAATTCACTAACAAGAGCAGAACTGCAGAATTTTGCAAAATAAGACTAGAAAGAACCAAAGGTTGAATGGTTACCTTGTACTCCCAAACTTACAATCACACTGGAATTATTCCCAATGTTTTTAGATGAACTAGCTAAACACCAGAAAATTATGTTTTTACTTTTTCTACAAACAATGCATTCCAGTGCTTAAATTTCCTACACCATAATGCTTTTTCTAAAGTCTAAAACTAATTAAATTGGTTTGACTTCTGAATATGATATCGGATGACTTGCTCAGATTTGAAGTCTGCAACATTTGCACAATTTATAGAATCTCAGTGGAAAAGCTGTGATTCCAACATATTGCCTCTTCCCAGTTCCCAAACCAGGCTTACTTTTCTGAGGGAGTGATGGTTGCTGCCTCCTATCATAACTTTCCTGCCTTATCAGGCTGACAAGAATGTGCAGCCTAGCTGGAGTCCCAACAGCAAACACCCAAAGACTGCTTTTCACTGCAAAGTTAACCACAGTTAAAACCTGGGGACTGAGACTCATTTGTGGTTCATGCACACACATTCTTTCAACATGAGCTGGCTATCCTATCAAGTGGGGACAAGGTTAAAGGATTACTAACTGCTAATAAAATTCCTCTACAAATTGCATGATGATTAGTGCCCTCAGTATTTCCCCACTGTCCTGTGTGTCAGACACATTTCCCTCAGGAAAAGAAGTGATTTCTGAAACTTTCTAAACCAGTGGAGGTGATCTCTGATGTTTTTGTGTCCCTATCTATCCACAACTACATACAGAACAAAGGAGACAAGGCTCCCAAACAGTGTTTTCCTTTGCAATCTCTCTTATTCAAATTGTGATAACATGTGGAGAGTAACTCAAGGACAGAAAACTTCAGTGAATATGGGGACATGCAAACAGTACTTTTTAAATTCCTACGGTTTTGTCTGAATAACTTTTCATTGGAAAAGGACTGCTGTTCTACTGAATTTCATGCTTATATTGTATATTATTAAAATATTGGAAACCCATAAAGAAATGGTTAGAAATATGTAACAAACCAACCAACATAATTTTTAAAAGTTTTGTATTTTCTGACAATTTTTCTCCAATCTGCTTTTTTGAAGTAGATCCTCTTGCTTTTTCTCTTTTTTTTCCTTTTCCATTTTTAAACCCTGTGCTTATGGAGAATTTCAGGAAAAAATTATTTACATTTGTGAAAACAAAAGAACCACATTATATACTTTGTGACTGATGATTTGCAGCATGTGGACCCCAACAGAGGACAGAAAACAAAGGAGAACAGACAGGATTGCCTTGGAATTTTTGAGGCACATAGACCCTCAGAAATAAAATGCATAGAATAAAGCATTCTTGCAAATATCCACTAAGCCAGTGTAGAGAGGATAGGACAGGTAATTTGATCTTCTGTTAAGTGGAATGGTCATTTTAAGAATGACCCTGAAGTCCATCAGACAAAGGGCTGACATCCTTTCACTAATTTGCATATTTTAATGAATATGCTGATTATTTAGCCTACTGACTAGGCTGGCAAGGTAAGCGCTGAACAACTTCAATCATAACCCACTAGCATTTTCATCTAAAATGTTACAACTCTGAACATATTCTTGCCTCTTCCCCTCTATCTTTCGAATGAAATAACCTTTACAAGTAAGCTAGTATTATATAACCTTTTTTTGTCTCTGAGGAATCTAATACAAGTGTTAACATTAAAAAAAGATTTTTTTATTAATACATCAATAGTAACAATCAGCTAGACTAGTTACAATAACTTAATTCAAAGTTATATAACTGTGCCAGAACGTAACTATTCTTATAAAGCAGTGCCTTTCTAACCCCTTGCCAAGGATATTTAATTTGATGTCCAAGTTTTCTTGCCTATGGGAAAACCATTTTCCATTTTAGCTGCTAGCAACAAGTATAAGTGAATATGCTGTAAATAACACTACTTTAAACTTTTGGGTCCCATTATGCACACAAGTTATCTACTCTGAAAAGGCATCATATAAACATGCCAAATTATTCAACCCTATGAAAAATGTTTTTCATCTGTATTATAAGTTAAAACTTTTTCTGACTTTAGAGAAACTGGAACTTGAAAAGATAAAAACTTAAAGCTTGATTTTTCTTTGCCCAGAGCATATGTTATATAAACACAAATCCCCAAAAGGTGCCAAGAATTGTCCCTCTGTTTTTCTAAATGATCATGTGTGCAGTCTAGCTGAAAAGACTCATCGATTATGTCTACATAAACAACAAAAGCCCTTAGAAAAAATATCTAGATCAAAAGCCTGTCAAACACTGAACAGGAAAGAGAAATCCTGCTTTAAACATGGCCTCTTTCAAGTCTGAATTCAATCCCATGAAGTAAAAACAAAGGATTTCATAATGAAAGGTATTTAAAATTACTTTATTTTTGGAACTTAACCAGGGATTCTTTTTTCCTATATGTTAACCTTTGTCTTTCTTACATTGGGACAGAATTCTGCAAAATGTGCCTTACAGTTTTAAATAAATGCAGAAATTGTTTAGTCACAGTCCACTGTGTTCACAATACACATTTCCAATTATTTTCATTAAAATGCAACAATGATATTTTTACTGACATGTTTTTTTTCTCCTTTTGTCAACCACCCGACAATATCCACTGTTAACATGGGAACACAGCAAAGTTCTTAATGGATGAGATGCATTTCCTTTTCATTTTTTCTTTTTTTTTTCCCCCTCTTTTTCCTCACTTCCTAAAATACAGACACATAGTCAAGAAAGGAAATCAAGTATCCTTGCAAAAACAGAACAGATTACTATATAGCTTATATATAATTATGCTCTGGAAGTCATAGTCAGAAATCATAAACTAAGCTGAAGTATAGGGTTAGATACTTCTAAAAGTATGGTTTCTAAAAGAAGTGAAAGAAATTTAACAGATATATGTCTGATGAAATATAATCCTCATGTTTGATTTCCTACTCTGTTATTAAGGTTAATATGCAAACATATGGCATGATTTACCGTATCCCATTAGTGATCTCTTTCAGACCAACTTGTGATTTGATTGTCCCCTATCTACGTATATAAGTAATAATATAAACCTAATGTAAAACACTTGCTACGTTTAATCATGCCACTAATGTAAGATTTATGTGTCATGTACATAATCAGAATCCAGTTTTAAAGAAGTTCATACCTACTGTTGCTGGAGACAACATCCTGTTTGCCAGGTTTGGCTAATAGACATTTGTCTTAGAAAACATCAGTTCACATTTGATTGTTCAAAATGGTGGTTTTGCTCAATTTATTCACTGTAATTGAGAGTCCTATAGCATGGATCAGTGTATACTAGAACAAATGTACTCCACTTCTTATAATGTTTGGATTGGTGGTCATCTTGGATATTCGGACCAAGAAGAGATAAATGCATATCTGACTGGCCTCTCAAACATAATGCACATTCAGTTAATAATGTATTCTATATACGGTATCTCATTAACACAGCTCTAGGCTAACAAATTACTGACAGCTCCATTGAATTGGCACTAGAAACTGACTTTTCACATAACTAACCTGTTCAGGAGACAAGAGGTCTGTCTTCTACTACAAAATGCAATATCAAAGCAGAAGGAGCAGCAAAGTGGTCAAGAAAGTTAAAATTACATTGGTGTACTCATCAGGCCATTGTCACCCTGACGCATTGAATTCTAGCTTGTATCAAAAAGTGAATTGGTCAATACAGAGTACACTCTTTCAGAGTAGTATTTCAAGACATGCTCTGATATACGACTAGTGAAAAATTAAGTTATCCATACCTCCTATAGTCTTGCAAAAGAAGGGTCTAGTAAAGCATTGAAAGCATAGTATTTTCATTTTTAAAGTGTTTTCCTTCTAGCACTCCGGATGCCAGTTCATCATGGATATTTCTAACATACTTTCTCTTGCAGTGTTTTCCACTAATCACATCCAAGTATTTCATATGGATTTGCCTTATATCTGGAAAACTTTTAACTACTTTTGCTATGCTTACTCCATGTTTTGGCGCATAAAAAAGAATTATCTCTTTGGAAAGAAGTTAATGAAACAGATCCAGCTTCAATAATTTTTCAAGGAACAAAGGTTGTAAAATTGTTTTCTACTGGAATGTTGAACTTATCAGAAGATCACACACTCAAGCCAATAGCATTTGTCTTTGCTGTCATGCAAAAGAGAGTGAGTCACCTACAGTATAACAGAATCATTTTGCAAATCTTTCAGAACTGTGTGGCATCTGATTAAACTAATCCACATCTTTCTATGATGCCAAAATAAACAGTCCCTTTCCCACAATGTATAAACATTGTTCCCATAACTTTCCTTTGAAATGTCATGAAAAGGTTAAGTGACGTTTCATTATTTACCTTGACTAATGAATTGCTCCATGCTGTCTTTGAAAGGCTGGAGGTGCTCTTCTAGTGATAGCTGATAAACTTTTGCTGCTTCTGTCTCACATACTGAAATTGAAGTAACAGATTAGTTCAGGATGACATATCATAGTATGGATCTGCATACTGTAATAAAAGACACACTTAAGTTAATGCATAGCCAATAAAACCACTGGAATATGTGCCTCAAACACTACTTCAAGTACAAGCAATTAAGTTCCCGGTCAAATGTTTTTCACCAAAATACACAGATAACTTGTGGACAGTGTGTTAATTTAAATAAGCGGTAGCAAAAATTAACAAAAGTATTCAATTGTTTTGAAGGAGAAAGACAAATTTAAGGGGCTAAAAGGTATGGGAACAAAATTACAAACTTGGATCCCAGGCCATGTTGACATACGTGACCCCAGGTGACAGCGCCTGAATCAAAACAAAGTTCAGATGCAAAACCTGCACCAAATAGTTGGAAGGACCTTAATTTAGTAAGTAAAGCCAGATGAGGGCTTGACACCTGATAAAACCACAGACATAGTGAAGTGCCTTGCATTGTTCAAAAGTAATAGTGCAAAATTATTAAAGTGAAAGATTATAAGAGTATAGTTATCATGGCTTGAACTCTGTGTGAGACCTTGGAGGAGGACAGCTTGGTTCTTATTGCACTAGAGACCAGGACAGAGAAGCTGGAGCCTGAAGCAGCCCTAACACAGATTATTCATTGGTAAGGTGGTACCATCGTGCTTCCACCAACTATCCCAGTTAATTTAGTTTGGGGCAACAGAAGACTTGACACTACTACTTCAGGAGAATGTTAAGCTCTGATTTCTATTATAGGGGAAATCTCTTTAGGCTGTGATAAGTTCCCATCATTCAACAGAAATGAATCCTGCTTGATTCTGCCTCAAATTCCCAGTAAAAGTGCACACATTCAAAAAATGTGTTTTCCTTGTTTACTCTCTAGGCTTTCTTTTGGCAAAACAGGATTATTAATATGTCTCTAAATACAGAAGACTGGTTAGACATTTAAAAAAAGATTTTGAAGCAGCAGAATGTACTATCATAATTATCTCCCGTAAATATAAATGATGTCTAGAATTGCATCAATCCAAATATCTACAGATGAGAATTGTAGTCTGATTCTGAAGACTGGAAACAAAAGGTAGTAGCCTTACATGTATCACCATTATATGCTCTAAAAATGTCATTCTGTAATATTTGAAAAGGTTTCGGGGGGGGGAAATCAGTTGTCATCTTGTTCTTACTTCAGCAAGCATGAATTTATATTCTGGTAAACAATACCAGTCTCTAGTTTACAGCAAGAAACTAATGACATATCCAAAAGAGAATAGTAGAGCAATTAAAGATAATATAATTAGAGACAAAGATCCAAAGTTTCATTAATTTTGGCAAAGGCTTGTCAGCCAACCCACTACAGATCTGTACCTTGTCATTCAAGCTAGACTGCCAAGTAGGTAAATATATATGACAGTAGTTATATCACCCTTTGTATTCTGTTAGCTGTATAATTTGATTCTCATCTGGTGCTACTCATCTGGTCTGCTATATCTGGGGCAAATCTTTGGAGAATGCAGCTTTAGATCTCATAGACACTGGTTAATCATTTTTTCCCATAGTTGTGAATATACCAAAGACAATTAGAGATACCAGTTTTTAAAATGCACATATACAGAAGAACAGACTGACTCAAATAATTGGTAACTCCGCACAAGTGGAGTAAAGCCAGGGTGACAATAAAAATTTCACTGTTTGGGTTTTTGTGTGTTTGGTTGTTTGTTTTTGGTTTGGGGTTTTGGGGGGGGGGGGGGGGTTGGTTTGTTGGGGTTTTTTTTTTAAGCTTAGAGCAAAATAGAAATAAATACCAGCAGATTCTAAGGGGGAAAAATTAACATGAATATATTTAATTAAACAGGTAACCCTGCTTATGAAGCAGTATTTAAAAAAACACTCCCCCCCCCCAAAAACAAACCCAAAACTAAAAAACACCATGAATATAGTCACATGGAGAAGCCTGTAATTTTTAAATAAATGTTAGTCAACACATCTGAAATAGGGGAGGGGATCCAAATGGCCATGAATTTTCTTACAGTGTATGATAGACAAAAATAGAGAAGCTACATACTATTCTGCAAAGAAAGACATTCTGATGGTGACATATAGATTTTCTATTATTCTTTTCTCCTCTTCAGAAATAAGTAGCAGAGCTGAAAGATACTATAGAACCTACCGTAACATTTAATATCACCAAAATTCCATACCTTTTTCCAGAATATGGATTACATATTCTTCACAGAAGTATAACATTATACTCTCTTGAATTAATGTCTGCAGCTCACGATGAACTCCTGATCTCTCAGCTGATTTGAGAGAAATATAGATCTTAAGATATATGCCCACCAACAATCTTAGCCTATACCCATGCCAATAGCCTGAAGCAGTCCCTTTTCAAAGTCTATAAGGAAATGCAGGGATATACTATCCTTTATATTCAACTTGCTATGGAAAAGAAAAACATGTAATATTGTCAGAATGAGATGTCTGTTCTTTAACCATTCAAATACTGGAAGCTCTTCCATGGTTGATTTGTTTGTGCATGTATATGAGGTGGGGGAAAGGGAGTGCAGTTAATGATAGCTTTGTTTCTCCAGTTTTTGGTGGAGGTTTTTTTGTTTGTTCCCCCCCTCCCCCGTTAAAAGACTAAAATCAGTGTTATTCAGAAGAATAACAGTTCTGGTCCATTTTTGACCCTATTCCTGAATTGCAAATGATGTCTAAGTCATTTAAAATCCAAACGAAAAACACAGGAAAAAATCCCTTTTTCTTGCTTTATAGAAAGTAAGATATCATATGTAGCATCCAACCTTTAAATATAGGCCAAATTCTGTCATTATTACCATACTAATATCAGTATTATGATTCTTAAAACAAACTAGTTCATTGGATACTTTCTTCATTAAAGAATTAAACAGGCCTGTAAGCTCTTCCTAAGTTTCCCAGTTCTCCAGAGCACCAAGACCTGATGCACCAGACCTGGTGCTCTGGTGTCCCTACACAACCTGTCAGATATAACACTCATTTATCATGTTCTGTAATTTGTCACAAGACTATAAAACCCCACTATTTGGATTAGATATTGTTATTCCTCACTGTAACTTAAGAAATTAAGGTGCTGATCTTCTGAAAAGAACACAAAACACTAGACAGTTACCAGTATTTCTGCCCAAGGTAAGGAATAAGATACTGAATCAAGGTTTGTGTCAGAAGAGTATTTAATAACTTCTAAGCAATGTGGAGATGAAACATACCAAAAAAAACCCCCAAACAAAAAAACCTAAACACCAAAAAGTATGTCAGTATACCAACAGTCTTCTATATTTAATATTTTTTTCTCAGCTTCATACTGAAACACATTTCTGTCTATGAAGCAGCCCAGCTAAACTTCCCAGATATCAAAGGAATAGGTTGGCAAAGGGGATCTGCTGTGACGAGTTTGTAAAAGTTTTGTTTCTTTTTTTTTGATAACAGACTCAAAACTTGCTCTGTTATCATCCCTGTTCTCACAGGCTTAGTTATTCTGTCACCTTGGGAGATGTGTACACAACTGAAAGACTTAGACAAAGCTAGCATATTCCTATGTTCAGTTCACTTTAAGAAGATTTTAAGTTTTCTCATAATGAAAGAATTGAAAGGTATTCAAGGCACCACACATGAGAGTCCTGTAGGCAGTCACAAAAGCCAAGTACTAGGTAGAAGCTTATCTGACAACATGGATTTGCCCAAACAGGAATAAAGAAAGGTAAAAACTTCTTCGTATTGCTTTGCAGCAAGGAGGTGGTTTCAGTTCCCTGTAGTCCCGAATACCCAGTCCTCATGCACTGATCTTATAACTTCCAAAGATCTCAAATCCTAAGCAGAAGTTGGCATTGGCAGACACCTCTTCTCCAACCCTCTAAATCAATTTTAACATATAAGCAATATCCCAAAAATGAGAAAGACTAATAGTCCATCTAATTTCATGTCCTCTCTAACATCATATGCTGCAGAGGACTGTATGAGATTTTCCAGAGAAGCAATACAAATGGATTCTTGTTGGGAGGACCTTCTAAATTTTGGGCAATTCAAACTGGTAGCTTTTTGCCCATACATACCCAGATCTCTCAAATGCTCCTGATCTGGAAATTGATGTGAAAATCTGTGTTCAAAACCGGTTTAGAGATTTAGAGAAATTGCAATTCCAGCTGTATCCAGTATCTCAAGAATCTCATCTCGTTCTCTATTTCTATGCTAAAATACAATTAATTGCCATTTTTCAAGCTATTGTGTTAGCTTGCTCATCCTACTTTATTTTAATTTTAGGTCAATATACTAAAACCATACAAAGTTTCACAACAGCCAATATTGATTAAGAGACATCTATACAGAAAAAGAAAAGAAGAGTCAGAAAACATTCTGTGCATTGTACTAACCAGAATTGCTTACTGAAAGTGTAAGTGATCTAAAATGCACCCAGTCTCATTATCAAAAATAGTTGCTTTACTTTTTTAAAAGGGAGAAAAAAAATGTTTTCAAGATGGAGAATATTTTTTTAATGCAAGTTTTCCATCTAGTTCTGTTGGATACTAAATTTTAGCACTTGGAAGCACAAATCTCTTCTAACCCTAAATGATGTCTTTTTGAACAAAATGTGTGAGCAGATGATCCGCTGCTTGTCAGGCTTCCTGTACTGTCTTTGGTCAGGATAATAGCGGGCAGCATGATTTTTCTTGCAACACACTCAAACCTAAAAACAAATGCAAAAAGCAACCCCTCCCCCAAACCGACAACAACAACAAAAAAAGCAACCCACCAGAAAACCCAATAAGAAAGCAAGCAGAACTGTGAATTATCTTGGGTGAGTAATTAACAGGTCCATTAGGTTGTTTTGGTTAACCACTTCTGAAACCACATACTTATCTATAGAAGTTATACAGAACTGACGTGGTTTTTCAAGACCATTTAAGGTACCTGAGAGCACACATTGCACTGAGATTTGATAGACTACTTGTTTTTAATTC